GGGGAGAGAGTGAGCAGGACTCAGGCATCTCAGGGACAGCCCAGAAAGAGAGGGGGGATTTTATGACAAGGCTGAGGCTGTAGAAAGTTGATCGATAATGGAGGGGGAGGTTTGGAAGGGACAAAGGAAAGAAGAATCCAGGAGAAAAGCACCCACAAGCACGAGGCTCTGACAATAGGTGTGCCGGGTTGGGGAGTGGGCCATTGCGTTTGGACTGCTTGTAGATGCTCCTGGAGATGGGAGGCCCAGGTGGCTGACTTTCCTAAAGGTAGAAGCTGGCCATTCCTAGTGAAATCCCAGACTGAGTAGGAGACTAACAAAATTAGTCCAAAGACAGCAGTCCCTGGTCCGTGTTAGAAGCTATCACTATGAAGAGTGTTTTTCTCTCATATACCAAGTAAAACCTTCAAATAATGTATTATTGACACTTTGTACCAAAAGCCTAGTTAGATAACCTGGATCATTGTCAAAGTAAGAATCGCAGGAGGTACAGTAGGTCTCTTAAAATACAGATTTTGTTATCAATTAGGACATATTGAATCCTAAATGTACGTTAGCTATGAAACAGATTGAGTGCCTAAACGTTGGTGTTCTTGTGCCCTGCTGTCGACACAGCGTGGAGACACTTCATCTAAAAGATACGTCAAGTCATGCAGGTGCAGATTCACAAAGAGAGCCAAAAAAATTCAACCTCATTTTATACCTTAAACATCAGAATATTCTTTGTCAAGAGAGGCTTTTCTGGCCCATTTGACTTCCTTAGTGTTGCTTTGAAAAGAATACTGCGGGTATATTCCAAGCCCAGAATAAATATCGAGGTTATAGAAGCAGTCTTAGCCCACGGATGGTCCCCGCCTATGAAGTCGAAGACGGAGGACGGGTCACTGCGTGCTATGAAAAGTGTTAAATTGCTCTTGGCAATTTTTGTGGTTAAGTAAAACACGGGAGATTGAATGGTTTAGGATTGATTGGGGCCCACTGATTTCATAGGCAGCTTATTAGAGTGAGAGACACCTGAAATCAGTGTCTAGGAAAGAATTTAGAAGCATTTGAAAAGAACTCAGCAGATTTATGAATATCTTCCATTAGAGCATTTTGGGATTGGGCCTTTTAGAAACAGCATGGAACATGCATTGCTCCTGGGAAAATATTACAAAAACACCTGGTGAACAATTTTGCAAATATTAGGACAGGATTGGGGATCCTAAATCAAATTATTTTCATCAGAGCATTCCTTAGTTTTGGAAAGCTGATTGATTAGCTATCCTCTCTGGAGTCAGTAGGCGCCAGGTGAGCAGAATTCTAGAACCGTCACGGTGTAAAACACCGCGGGGCATCTGCGGTGCGACCCTCCCTCCCGCTGGGGTCCCACGGACAGCACGGTGTCCAGAGATGGACCATGCAAAGCACCAGCCTTCCATCGACATGATCTGCAGTCTAGATTTTGATGACAGTAAAATCAAAGAAAACTTATTTTTTTTCAGTTGACTCTATTTTAATATTTTTAGTTGACTCTTAAAAAGACCACTGAAAATCATATTTTTGAAAGTTAAACATTTTTGTTTATGCTATTAGTTGTCCCAATTTGTCCCAATTTTCCCCCTTTGCCCCTCCCCCCAGCCCCCTCCCCCCACCACTTAAACGCATATTGCTAATGGCCAGAATGACCTTTTCGCTATTCATACCCTGAGAACTCAAATCAGGTTTGGAGTCAAATCACTGGGAAGATTGAAAATAATTAATTTTAATTCTCTGATTTAACACACAGAAGCAAAAGCTTCACATTCTTAAGATCAGAAGAGATTACTTATGCTATTACTGTTTAATGCCTGCAATATTCTTATTCACCCATTTAGCAAATTACTGAGTGTCTTCTATGATGTTATATTGGTGTGAAGTCATGCTTGCAGGAAGTAGTATTAAATAATTGATTTAGGCAGAAATTTATTGCTCAAGGATGTTCACCTTGCAGATGGAAAAAAAAACAGAAAACATTAATTAATCAGTGGTATGGTCTGCTTGATCAGGAAGTTGGATGAAGTTGCACTTAGCTTTTTGCTACAAGCTGCCCTTAGACAATAAAAAGTTGTAGCAGTGTATAAATTAGACCAGATGCTTGCTTCTTGGGTTTGCATGACTCTCTACAGATGTATGGGCTCCATAAAAAATGGTCTTCTCAATCCAAATATTCTGTGGGCAAGGTTTCAGCAGGACTGTTGATAATCTCAGCGGCTGGTGGTCAGAGTGGATGATGAATTACAACAGCTCAAGAGACAACCAGATTGGTGCCCGGACCTACACACATTCATGTGCGTTTGCATCTAAATTACCACTACGTACTTTATCACACCCTTCTCCCAGGTAGATAAATCAGGGTGGACGCACATGAGTCTGACTATTTGAAAAGAGCCTCTGATACTAACCAGTATCAAAAGAGCCAACTTGCTTCTTCCTCTTCCAAAGTTCGATTTTGGGGTAGCCCCATAAAGTGAGGTCACATTTGAACATATAATGTTAAAGACCAAGGGGGAGACTGTCTGTGAAAGTCAACCATGTGAGTTATTACTGAGCACTCTCTATAGTAGACTTAGTATATAAATCTTGGGCTAGTGTTGTATGCTAGCATTGCGAGGATGGGACTGGAAATGGGGGACAGGAAATGCTTAATTCTAGGTTTTGTTCTGTTATTATAATACAACCATAATACAATAGGGGTTCAGTAATCACATGGAGGAAGAAAGAAAAGGAAAGAAAAGAAAAGGAAAGTAAAGAAAAGAAAGAAGAGAAAGAGAGAGAGAAGGAAGGAAGAAAGGAAGGAAGGAAGGAAAGAAAGAAGGAAGGAAGGAAAGAAAATGTCTAAGATGTTATAAAAGACTTTATTTCTCCAATAAATTCCTTTATAAAAATAGTGGTTATGTTTCTCTGGAAAACATGTCAATAGGGTTTTCCTAAAGGAGTGAATGAATATTAGCATATTTTATTTTAATTCACCTCAAGATTTCACAAAGAAAGTCTAATTCCATAAAAAAAAGTGGAAAATTCATAAAATTCAGCTCTGCTCTGAATGGCCCTAGCCCTCTATAGCACCCCAGGTCTCACACTGCAGCCTGGTAACGGGGTGACAACCGCTGCGTGTATGCTTCTCGGTTACAGACTTGGGCGGAGAGTTTCTGATCGTTACTGTGAACTTCAGAGCATCGGGTTGAAAGGCGATTCATTTCTTATTTGATCCAGAAGTTTATATTCTGTCGCTTTACCCTATTTTCAAATAATGCAATACTTACCCAAAAGACATATTGAACTATTTTGGTGGGAAGTCCTTAGACATGAATATAGAATTCTATTACTAAACACAAACATTAAATCCATGCTGATTTTTTTCTACTTTCATAGTAGAGACTTTTTAATTATGTTTTACTGTATTACTTTTAAGGAGAAAGTATCGATGAAAATGTTAATATAATTTCCATTTACAAATTCAGTCGCCAAGAAATGTCGCAGGCAGCAACATCAACAGGACTTTTCCTGTGGGTCTGCCAAATACAAAAACAAACAGAAAAATAACTTAGAAGAAAATGAAAGTCTCAGTGTCTTTGTAAACTATGCGTACAGCGGTCTGACTATCAAAGTATACGAGATGTTGCCTTTCAACCTAGAGCCCCAGAGTCACTTCCAAAAGGAATTCAGACCTGTGCGTACGTAAAGCAAGATTTTTTTTGTTCACTATAATTACTGTGTCAAAAGGAAGATTGTGCCCTGGCTGGCGTAGCTCAGTGGATTGAGCATGGGATGTGAACCAAGGCGTCACAGGTTCAACTCCCAGTCAGGGCACATGCCTGGGTTGCAGGCCACGGCCCCCAGCAACCGCACATTGATGTTTCTCTCTCTCTCTCTCTCTCTCTCTCTCTCTCTCTCTCTCTCTCTCTCCCTCCCTCCCTCTCTAAAAATAAATAAATTAAATCTTAAAAAAAAGAAAAAAAAGGAAGATTGTTGAAAGAAAGAGTGAATAATACAAATGCATCAAAGCGGAAAACAGTTCACTGAAGACAGATGTTGGGGTTTTATAACAGGGAAACTCCCCCTGTCCCATCATTCCCCTCTCTGCACCTGAGTCAGCGTCTCCCCAGAATGACAGATATAATGACAGAAACCACTGGTATGTGGTTTCTAAATCAACACGTACGTTTTGGGGGGTGTTTTTCTATTTCTGAGATAATTTTACAGTACCTGTTGTCCTTACTTTAAGAACTGACTATTCTCTTGGCAAATTATACAAAATGTGGTTCTAATAAGCATCTCAGGATATTGTGTCTGTGCATTTAGCCATATTAAACTCATGAAAATATCAGTAAAAAGGTTCATAGGAAAGAGTAGCCTATACTGTATAATACAAATAATAAAAGTGGAAATAATCTTAGTTTTCAAGAAACTGTTGCACAACTGTTTTTTCACCAAAACCAGGAAACAGTTATCTCAAAAGTCACTATTTGATATTTGCAATACAGCTAAAAGTTCACTGCAATTAGTTCTCCATCGTACTGTATGTTTTACAATTAAACTTCACTTGTTAATCATTTTTATTCCTTAGCTTATTTTTCTTTGCCCTTCAGCAAATCCACTAACCTAACAAGGAATGAGACACGAGAAATGGGTGGCCATCACTCGCCAGTCTTGCTACCTTGTTCTAAAGCAGCTTTACTAAAATGCTCGAAAGAACAGTCAATGAAAAGGACTGGCAAAACCGATGTTTTCAAAACATAACTGGACATTTAATGCATTCACATCCTCTCTGCCCTTCCTGGAGAACCCACAGTTGGTTGTCATCCAGAGTAAAGACGCAGGAATGTAATTCTGTTTCTCTTTGTAAAAGTCCTTCCCCTATTTTATGAAATCACGGCGTATAGTGCATAATGTCAATGGGTACTGACATTGGTGGTGTTCTTGACTTAAAAAAAAAACAAACCTGTTTGTCAGCGTTGATCGTGTCCATCTGTCCGCAGATTTTCCACATGACCTACGACCTGGCCAGCGCCGTGGTGCGGATTTTCAACCTCATCGGCATGATGCTGCTGCTCTGCCACTGGGACGGCTGCCTGCAGTTCCTGGTGCCGCTGCTGCAGGACTTCCCGCCCGACTGCTGGGTGTCGCTCAACGAGATGGTGGTAAGTCCCGCGCGCGGTCCGCACTCTGCGCATCCACGGTTTCCTAAACAGTCCCCGGGGGTCCCGGGGGTCCCGTGAGAGGGATCTAATTCTCCTCCGCAGACGTTTAGAGACAACTTCCTTTTGCTTCCATCGTTGTCGAGCCAGATGTTGTGTTTCTTTTGTACAACAGAATTTTGTTTACACGAAATGTTCCTGGGGAGGTGTATGTTGCAAATCTATTTTCAGGTATCTCACTCGGTGCGTATGGAGACATTTTATTTCAAAGGTACGCATGCAAACGTGCACACATACAATCATAGCACAGCCTTCTTTTAGAAAGGCTTACTCCTTGGCATAACTTATTTCTTTCCACTTGATTTTAGCATGTACCATGTTCAGGACATGCAGTGCTAAGCACAGTTAAACATGCAGAAACACATGCCTCAGTAGGAAAGCAGAGGAGATACGTGTGATGATATCTCAGAGAGTACCTCTTCCTAAGGAGAGCTTCATGGCCAGGGTGCCCTTTAAACTTTACCCGAAACAATATGTAAATATAAAAAGTCTGCGAGGTATACATTTGATTTATAGGGTATATCCACAGTCACAGAAAGTTTGAGAGCATACGTTCTGATCTACATAGTGCAACACTCACAACGGAGTTGAAATAGTGAATATTTAACATGCATACATATGTTATAGATTCTTCTATGTAAATTCTTGTTTTCTTCTGGCATTGCATTTTATTTCTTTATGTCTTTATGTTCAATTTACTGGAGTAACATTGGTTAATGATGTGTAAGTTTCAGGCATACAATTTTATACTATATCATTCATGGATTCAGTTGTGTGCTCACCACCCAAGGTCTAGTCTCCTTTCATCACCTCGTATTCGACCCCCTCTGCCCTTTTACCCCACCCGCCCCTTCTCCCCGGTAACCACCATTTCGTTGTCTGCGTTTATGAGCTTGGTTTCTTTTTGTGTCTTTGTTCGTTTGTTGCTTTTTGTTTTATATCCCACACATGAGTGAAGTCATATGGGTCCTTGTCCTTTCCTATCTGACTAATTTTACTTCGTGTGATGCTCTCTGGATCATTCATGTTGTCACAAATGGTAATGTTTCATCTTTTTGTGGCTGCGTAGTAGGCCATCATATAAACATATTACATATATGATCTTCTTTACATGACCAGTGAGTGGTCAAAGAGCACTTACATTTAACAACGCGTTGTTTAGCCATGCAATAGAACAGCCTTCTCTTATGTATGGCATTTATGGCAGGTAAATTTTAAGAGAATTTCTCAAGAGTGTATCTTCAGCAGATATCCAATACACTTTCATTTCCCATAATTTTCTATTATTAGTTTCTTGGCTTATTATTGTAGAAAAGGCATGGACATCTTAAAAATATTCATTTTTTTCTAATAATTTTATCTTAGGCTTTGTATTGGAAGGAAAGTGGGGTTTACATGATTACACTTTAAGAAGTATGGTCTGTTTTTCTTTCTTTTTTCTTTTCTTGCCCACCTACTTCCCTCCTCCCCCTCCCTTTCTTCTTTCTTCCGTCCCTTCTTCCTTCGAGCCCTAACATTCACCAGGATGCCTCCCTCATCTCGTCCACTCTGCTGAAACATCTGTGCTTTGCAGAAGTCTCCCCTGGCCACCCTACTGACATCTATCACTGCATTTGTTGATGTTTTCTCTTTAAAATTTCAGCCACGTGCATGTGCACACACACACACTTATGTGTTGTTCATATTTGTCTGTATTCCCCACACTATCATGTAAGTTCCAGTGGGTCAAAGACTTTGTCTCGTGATTCTGTCCTTCGTCTCCAGCACCTAGAACAGTGCCTGGCACAGTCAGTTCCCTGTACCGCCGCAGTCACTGCTGGGACTTTATTTGAGAAGTGTTCTGTATGGCAGATTCCAGATCTTAAGAACAGTGCTCACTTGTCAGATCTGTGACATCTCTTTGACTATTGATCTGTCACTTTTATTTATCGACGAGTGTGCAAAATACAAAGACAGCATTAAAATATTTGGAGGGAAGGAAAAAGCCACAGGTCTGCAGTGACTGAATGAATGGTATAGAAACAGTCACAGTACTGCCACAAGGTGATTTGTTCTTGACACCAACTCATAGTTAAGACTTCGAGGGATTATTATTATTTTAAATTGTCCCTAGGTATCTTTCAGAAAATAGCAATTGTCTTTGTCAAAAAAGTATTTTGGATATCCATAAAGTACATATAATTGTATAATTATAATGTAGGGCAATCTACTGCTTATTGCATCTAGCAATAAGCATATTTAATGAAGAAAATGTTAATGTTTCAGTCATTTTTCTTTAAGTGTCTTTGCATGTGCTCATTTGTTTGTGTGTTCAATGTATCATCATTAAACCTTTTTATGAGCTGGAAAACATCTTTCCTGATTTTACAATTTGCTTCTTGGGTCTTTTTACTCTTGGCTGAGGGTCTACTTCTGAAACTGGATTATTTTCTTTTTCATTTATTTAGCACTCTTTCTATGTTTAACATAGAGGATAAAAAACATGTAAGTCTGCATTCAGTTATAAAGACCAAAAATATGTGAAACTGTGACTATTAGTGATAAGAAGGAGGCAAAAATCATAAAAAAGACATTTTTGTGCCAATAGAGAATCTTGATGGTGTTATCAGACTTTGGAGGTACCATCGTCTACCCTAAAGCTATTGTGTTCTAGAAGACTTTTCATCACAACAAAACAAAGCAAAGTACATTTTCACAAAGAAGAGTCATAAAGGAAAAGGGAACACTCAGTGTAAGGAAGAAACACCCCACATTCATATATCATGCTCGCTGCAGACAAGCCCCTGTGCCTTGAAACATGCTGTCTCATTGGGTCCTTACAACAACACAAAGAGGTACACACCAGCATCTCGCATGTCACAGGTTAAACTAATTATCCTCTGTTGTATGGCTAGTGTGGATTATAGGGCCAAGATTAGAATGCTTATCTACCTGACTCCATCATATCTGTTCCAAACCACATTAGATTATCTTGTGTTATATAGATTACAAAGAACAGTTAAAAATATTGAGGAGGACTGAAAATGGAAGGTGAGGGTTGAGTAGGACAGGGGAAAATAATGGGGGGAAATAGGGACAACTATAATTGAACAATAAAAGAATTTGAAAAAATAATAATGAAAGATGAAAGCTTTGGTCACAGCAGACCAGTTGCAGTAGAAAGTCACTGGAAACTCAGCATTTGAGCTGGAGCCTGACTTGGGATGTAGGTGTAGGAAAGCAAATGCAAATTGGAAGGCAGAATTTGAGAAGCCAGATCAGGATGAATGCAGAAGGTGATACTAGCTATTTTTGATTATGGGGTTAAAAATCATGCAATGTCCATTTCACATTGATACTAAATTATTTTTGACAAAGTTTAGCAATTTTTTTGTGCCTTCCTTTTTCATGTCTTGCATTTTAAATGATTTATATCCTTAAGTATTATTTTAAGTCTTTCTTAACCATATTCATATTTATATCTATATTCTTATCTCTATAGTTTTAGAAATTCTTCTTAACCACATTTGCACTTATATCTTTACTTCCATCCATATACAGTTTAAATCCTCTTTAACTGTATTTACATTTATGTCTGCATCCTTATCTATAAAAATATGTCATTAGCTAGTTACCCATATATGTCCTGTGATGAGAAACTCAGAGTCCCTGTTGTAACTATACAATATCTTTAGTGGGTAATTTGTTCAATATACTTATTCTTACATGAAGAGTTTGTAATCTGCATTTTGTTCCATAGAAGTAGGTTCTGTTTCTCTCAGGCATTTCCTTATTAGTCTTTATTAATTCCTCACTAAGACAATTTTTTAAATGTCATTTTTTTAAAAAGTCAAACCAGTCATCATGGAGGTATGTGACTTGCTACTTGAACTGGGATTAATCTTGCCCTGCATTTGTAATATTTGCTTCTGGGTTATTCAAGAATTGTTTGAATGATGGAATGGTATCTGAATGAAAATCCTGGATTCATCAGATAATGAATGTCTAGTATAATTAATTTTGAAAATCTTGTCATTCCCAGGATATTTTGTGACTACAGTTTAGGTAGAGCGCACAGAGATGGTGTTAGTTCACTGTTCAAGCAATTAGAGGTACTGGTTTTTGGGGTTAAATTACAAATACCATGACATATTTATTTTAAGAATCTAACTAAGGAAGTGGGAACTATGACACATTTGAACTTGCATATGAATTTTGATGTAACTCAGAGAATGACCTTGCAGAATAAATGAAGAAGGATTTGTAGCTAAGTGATACATTCCCAGAGCCACGTTTCCGAGGCTGAAGTCTGCAAGTTACTCTCAGGGAGCCCACAGTTTTCTCCCGGCGACCTTGGGAAGCTGGGCAGTGGTTTGAAGGGCTCCCTCGTAAGCACATTGTGACTTTTGGGCCAGCTGAGTGCCCTAACTGTGGAGCCCACATTGCTTTTGTAGTTGACGTGTGTTGTGTCATGAGGTGCTATTTAAAATAATTCTGGCTTATGGGCCAATAAGTAAACAATCCATTTAGTCCAAATGAAAGCTAAATGATACATTAAATGTAGTGCAACATTTTCACCATAGTCAAAAGGAGAAACGGCCGGAAGACTTAATCACTCATTACCTACATAGTGCACAGTTGCACTGTGTTAAACTTCATGCTCCATAATAACTAGTATGATAACAGCACTGTAGTTACATTGTATGCAACTATTTGGTTTCAACAAAACGTCATCACCCATCACAATAAATTCACACTAATATATTTTTGTTATTATTTTGTTAGTATTTGCTTTGTAAATGTCTTTGTTTTAACTTTACAAGACCCATAACAATAAGAAACATTTCTATTTAAGCCTACCAGGAGTCATGCATTGTGTGTTATTTTATTGTGATTTGAAGGAATCCACCCATTATTCCATCCTGAGAGATTCCATTCTGGAGGGCAGGGAATATACCTTATAT